GGGAGGGGAGGGGAGGGGGGAAAAGAGGGAGAGGAGAGAGCGAACACAAGCACTCGCTGTATTTCATAATTAATCTGCTTTTAGCCTGAGCAGAACTGGATTACTTTTGAACTTTGCTTTGGCAAGTCCACAGATTATCAGACTTTTTTATCAGTCAAAATCAATTAACAGAAATTTTATTCCAATGGACAGGATGAAAGGAAGGTAATCTTCAGGTTCATTTTTGATTGTGATGATACATCTCACATATGGCCCCAAGTACCGACAACAGTCCTCGCAGGGACTGGAGCAGAAAGAGCCTGGCCCCGGGCGAACTAGCCGCAGGCTTCCCTCTGATTGGCCGCCGCGGTCATTAGTGCCACCGCTGTTTAGGAACTACACACAGACAGGACATGGTGACAGCTACGACTTTAAAGCCTATGTATTTTTCAAACAGCTTTTCAAACTGTTTTTCATGACAGAATTTTTTCAGCTCTATCATTAACTGCTGACAAGCTGACAGAATAAATACTCCAGCCTTTAAGAAGCCATCTAAGGATCCCGTCCCCTCCCCCGCCTCCCGCTTGCGGGAGTGGGAGGCCCTGGGCCTGGGCAGGGTGGGCAGAGGGTGAGGGGAGGAGGGAGGGAGCTAGAGGGACCCCCACGGCCTGGGACCCCCGTCCTTACCTCATCAGCTTGGGCGAGGAGCTGGGGGAGTTCCGCATGCCTCCATTCCGCTGCTTTTTTTTTGGTGACAGCGTTGAGGGCTGCTCATCTTCAACTGGAAATACAGGCAGCTCATGAGATTATGAACAGTTTGAGGGCAGACTGTGAAATACAGGCACGATATCAAAGGACACACACTCATGGCTCAGTCACTCACTAGGAATTCACGGCTGTCTTTTAGGACCCAATGACAAAGACCAAATGTGTTAGTCAAAGAAGCCGGCTTAGAGGAGGTGAAAGCATCACCTCTTTACACTCCAGCGTTTGAACATGCACTTGAAACAGACTACAACGCTTGTACACACCCTGCCATGAGAAAGAAAGGAAATCGTGATTCATCCGCATACAAAACAACGTATGTATAGATACGGGGACACGCGGTCGTTATTCTCGAGAGGTAATTTTGGTTACTTTGCTTTGCTGGGTAATCAAATGGGTTTTCCCGTAACCAAAATCAGAAAATAAAGTTGTATTTGAAATAGCAGCACAGCAGCTGTCAGCCTGCTGCGGCTGATCCCTGCGAGGCGGAGGAAGAGAGGCTCGGATTGGAGGCCGGGGCAGCCAGTGTTTCAGTCCCTCAGAGCTGGGAACACTGGTGCGAGCTGGCTCAGGAATCCACAGCCCAACTCAGCGCTTGTCCCTCCACCTCCCCAAAAGGGGGCCGCGCATGGGGGATCTTTTCTTAACTTATCAGGACGGGAGGACCGGGCTGCGAGGTTGGAGCCCCGGGCAGGAGAAGAGCACCCAAAGGAAGGAGGAGGTTGCCATTGAATGGTATCTCTGATGATGTGGTGAGGGGCAGGAAGGGAGGGCGGCACATGGGGTGGAAACCAAAGGCTGTTTCCCAAATGTCTCAGCTACACGGATCGCTAAGCGATGTGAGGCTCACACACAACACAGCACACTCTACGGCCTCTGCCCAGAGACACCCACTAATAAGCTTTGGAGATGTATTAACCTGCGTCATGCTTCTTAAGAGAGTTGCTTGGTAATTAGCAGATGCACACGCAGCCTGTCACCCAAGGGCATCAGCGGAAAAATCCTAGTCCTCCTGTCCCCACCTCCTACGCTTAGGCTAAAGCGGCAACGTCAAATGGGAAAAGTGGGAGCCTCGGGTTCTTATAGTTGACTGCAGCACAGACTGCGAGGAAGCACCCCGAAACCTGGGATGCACAGCAGTTACCTTAAAGCTAAGAGGAGAAATAATAGCGGGGATGACATCAAAAGATGCTTGATATATATTAATAGCGTACAAGTCTTGGGTTGGAAAGAAAACATCATCTCAGCTACTGATATTATCCAGAAAGACCCCTATCAGCACATGCATTGTATACGGTACTTCCCTGAAAACCCTGAATGCATTTAGTATGTTATGATACATGTTTCCAAAGGGACTAGAGTAATCCAACTACCTTCTGAACCCGCTTCAAGGTATCACGCTTGGTACTTCCCCTCGCCCCATCCTGCTGTCAGTCCAGGGTTGTCTGAATTCTGGCTGACACAGGGAAAGGGAGCAAGACTGCGGTTCAAAGTGAGAGCTGCTCGGGCAGAAATGAAGGTGAGAAGGCACCTGTGAATGCCCGCAGCCCACTAACTCTACTGCCCCCCGCATCCCCCAGAGGCCCATGCTCCGGCTGCGACCGTATCAGTCACTTAGGGCTCCAGGCAGGAACTGTGTGCCTGGGAAGATACCGCATCTTATCAGAAATGAGTATCCGCAGCGAAATCACACCGAGACTAAACAGCACTTAAAAGATTAAAGGAAATAAATACCAGCCACATAAATGGTATTGAAAAAAATCACTTAGAGTTGATATGCATCTCTCGGCGAGCAAACAGGCACTCTGAGCTTGACCTGAATTCACCTTCCTTTCACAGGCTAGGGGGCCTGGCATCCCAGGCAATAATGGGGCAGAAAGGCAGTGAAATTGAGATTGAGAGAATGTGTGCATGTGCGTGTGCGTGCGTGTGAGTATACTTTTGCACTTTCCCCATCTTAGAATGGGGTAGAAAGTCTTACATAGACTCCACCTGTAACACAAGGCCCCTCTTTAATGGGACCCACTTGCAATTGTACTGTGTTGAGGGTGCCTGGATTAGCTGAGTAGCGTGCCAGACTAAATAACGTGTGTGTGTGGCAGTGGGACTAGTGGGGGTGAAAGTTCTTTTCCTCTTTATCACACAAACCTTTTAATGGTTAGAATGAAATATCCAAAAGGATATATTCAGACTATTCACCTAGTCTGCCATGGCTAACTTTATTCAGTCACCAGCTGTTGCCATAGTTTTGTCTGTATTAGTTTAGACCCGGACAGAAGTCACATTCGCTGGCATTTCTTTTGGATTCTTTGGCTTAATGTTTGTTTTCCCATTTGCACTGGGTCTGCAATAAATAACTCTCCTTGGTTAAGAGACCATTATCCTTGCACTTCGTTGCTGTCTGTTTACCTGCAGTGAGGCTCAGATGGAAGACCTGCAAGTTAATGCCTGTTAGACAGCTCCAGGGAGACACCTCGATCTGGTGCTAAAGTTATGCCTCTTTCTATGCAAGGAAACTATTTAATTTCACTGCAAGTCAGAAAGATCATCCATCATGATCATACTGCATTTAAAGCGGGATCTGTTCTCTTCTCTTCAATGAGACTTGTGTTCAAAGGTTTCCTCCTGCACTCGTGGCCTGGAAATGCAGATCTGTACCCTGAAGAAAAGGGGAAGGTGTCTCCAGCTTAAATATACGAACGCAGTGTCGTGGAGACTATTACAGACGGCTTAGATCCCGCAAGAGAAGCAGCAGTAACTGCTTTCTCATAAGTAGGATATAAACCATATTTAATTATTGTCCTCTATATAGATTCTATCAATTGCTGCATATTTAAAGAAAGCAAATCTAGGAAAACCTTTAGTTGAGCTATAAAGTATAATTTTCATTTCATGGCTGCTGTGACTACATGAGAGGACTAGAAATTGATTTCAAAGGGAGACTTAAATTTACACGCTTTCAGGAAAGACACACGGATCGAAGTAATGGGCCAGCACCTCACGTCGCCGCATAACCACGGGCTCCTGTTTAGCCCCCTTTTTGGCTGATTACAATACACCTCTGTCTCCTGCGATCTCGCTTCACGCTGAGGAAGCCTCGGGAAGATACGATCTGTTACAGGAACCTCGCTTACCAGCTTCTTTCAAACACAAGCAAGTTGAGGAATCCAATGTGGAATTTTTATAGGGGCTGAACTCCATCCAGTCTCCAAGTCCTCATAAAATCCAAGGGCTTGTTTGTGCACATCCCTAAGCATCACGCTTAATGTGCTGCTGTAACTTCCCAGCGCTCGCTCCTCTAACAGGCACCGAACCTAACAGTTTTACAGTTTGGGGAAGACTCAGTGCTAGAAAAATGTCAGGCAGGTCTAATGAGGCCTCGGATCCCTTGGTTGGCGCTAGAGTTTAATTTAAAGTTACAATGATGTTTTAACATGTTTGCTTATACTTGACTAAAGAGGATTCATTATTTCGATGACATAACCTCCAGACAATGTTCTGGGAATTGATTTAGGATGTGGTGGTAATTCCAACAGCCTTAATGCAGAACCGAACATCTGTAACAACATTTTACTCGACTTTTCATCGCCATTCTGTTTTCAAGCAAATGCAAGGCAACATCTTCCAGAAACACTGGCCAGAACCCTGGGCTTACTTCAAGATGATCATATAGTTTACTGGATTTTTTTTAAAAAAGAAATCCCTTTCTTTATTAGCCTAGCCAGCTTGCAAACAGCATATCAAGGTTCACCAATGCCTCTTTGTGGGCCCTTTGAGTCAGATGGGCAATGATTTCAACGTTCAGCTTTCCCAAAGAATCCTGTGCCCCTCATATGATGAACCCGTTGCTCAGCTCCAGCCTGGGGCACATTCCTTCTTCCCCGTTTCCTCAACAGGGTTTAGGGGGATGATGCCCTCTGAGACTTAAAGGTGAGTTTGTTGGCTGGAGTTAAGAAATAGTTCAAAGCAAATAAACTCAGAGACGTAATAAAAGGCAAACGACCCATAAACATGAGTTGACTGGCTATCTCCATTACGTTATTAATCACCACATCTGGAGAAACCCACATCTGCACACACTTAGCAGGTCATTAGTAATGTCATATTCACACTGAAATCACTCAGAGTAAGAGGCATGCAAAGTGGCTTGAGCGTAAAAGGCATCTAGCTAACAGGGCTTCCGACCGACGTCTTGAGCAAGCTGCTAGCTGGCGGTACCCTAGTTTTAATTATTATTTATTGTTCTTTATGGTTTTTCCCTTTGCTATTTTGCTGCCCAACATGCTCAATGCATGCTGAAATCCATGGTAGTGCATCTGTCTTCTTCAACTGAGTTCGGCATGTTAAGGGGGAGCAAGGAGGGGTGCAGGGCAGTTGCTAAAAACTGGGACGGGATCCAGGACTCCTTCACCTGGCTCGGTCACAAGCTGTGAATTGTGAGTTGTGTTCTCGCACCCAAATGGGTCTTTGGGAGAGCGTGATCTAGCTGCCACCTTGACTGCCGAACAACGAGAAAAGAAAAGGGGAATTAATGCTTTGTGAAATTTTTCATTGGAAAATTGCAAACCAGTTTTAACATGAAACAGTTTCTGCCTCACAGCTACATTGAGAGGTTATTTTTTCCCTTTTCTTTTACCCCGATGACTTCTGGAAATTCTTTTCACTGTGTTCTGGTCATCAAAGTCAGAAGGGACAACAGATTAGAAGCTAAGCTTGTTTGTGCAATAATTTCCAAAAACATACTGAGTCCCCTCTCCCTTTCAACATACGCAGACGTAGAAAACTTGGTTTAGCATCGTGATGAGACCACTGCCTCCCGAAGCCTGCTGCACCCCACTGAAGGATCATCGTGCTCCAGGTCATCAGCCCCAATGTTAGACTATAGTTTTCATCTCAAACCATGGGCATGGTCAGCCCCTTGGCTGCAATATTGCTGCCTAACTTGCGTTAAATGCCGTGGATTTGCCACTCCTAAGAAAGGGGGATGTGTCGTGTATCCTTGTATCATGAGGGACA